GTAAAAGGATGCTGTACTAAGTACTAAGATTGAATGTCACTTGGGGGTTGAATAAAACTGATAATGCTGTGAGCACAGAAAAGACATTTGTGGTTATTTCATTATAACTGTTATGTTATATTTGTCTGACCTACAAGTGCCTCTTTAATGTAAATGTAAGCAAGATGACTGAATGATCAAAAGCAATGTCAAACTGGCCAAAACACTCAATTTCAGTGGGGGTTGAATAATTTTGGACACAACTGTATGCTTAGTTATTGTGGACCAAGGCCTGTATGCTGTTGCTAAAGTTAGTCTGGCCTACTCAATTTGAGTTTGAACGGCTCAAAAGAGAGATTTAGCAAACATGAAAATATTTTGTTCATGCTAGGTGAACAGTAATAAAATATCCAGATATTTGTGTAGGTGCAGTCATGCAGTGGCATTCTGAAACTCAAATGGGAATGTCCAAAGGAGGGCTTGTTGGGTCTAGTACAAAGGACTACAATCAGCCAGGTATAAGCTCTCAGTAGGAAGGGCTGTCTTAGTGCATGGGTGCCCAAGGTGCATGGAGGCTCAATGAAATTCTTGCATTACATATGGATACTTTGCCGGAATAGTCATAGGCTTTTTATTAAGGTGTCCAAGATGGTCTCATCATGGGCAGCATCCCAGATTCTTGGCCAAGGAGACAGCAGCATCCGGAATGAAATGACCACTCTATACCTTCCCCTGGCAATTTCCGGCACTCCGTATTGGTTCAAGAAGAATCCCCCAAGGCAAAGCTTTTTATTGTCTCAATTGTGTGGGTGGGATACGATTCGGATCCCTGCCGGCCCTTCTCCCCTGTACATTTAATGTGACGTAAGCACCTGAGATGGACAAGAGAGAAGGGCTGGTGGGGATGGAAGCAGTACACATCTGTCCACACAAGCAGTGGCAGTAAAATGCTCCGCCTGGGGGGGCTCTTCCTGAACCAATGCAGAGCGCTGGAGACTGCTGGGGGAAAGTAGAGGGGGGAGATTTAATTCCAAATTGTATTGTATGTTTAGCCTAATGACATCCTGCCAGAACAGGTAAGATTTGCCAGCAGTTTCCCTGTGCAGCTCTGCTTGAGGTAACCTTTTATGTATTGTAGATTACTGCCCCCCTGTATAGTGCTACTTACCCCTGTACTGTGCCACACTGAACCCCCCTGTACTGTGCTACACTGAACTCCCCATCTTAAGGGCCCCAGTGTATTACTTTGCCCGGGGCCCATGATTCTATTAAGATGGTCCTGCAAACAGCTGCACAGACTGCTGGAGACTGTAACTTCTCTCCATGTCAATGTGGGTTCCCTAAAGCTATTCTATTCCTCTAAAACAAAATCCAAACTGGTTGAAGGTATGAACATCAGAAATTAACCTCTTCAGAGGCTGGGACTGGGAAATATCGAATGTCATTTGTGAAATTCAGCAGAAAATGGCATAAAAATTTACTAAATATATATACATATTAACCACATGCCGCCCAGCCACCGCATATAAACGGTGGCAGGGCGGCGCTCGTAGGCAAAAGCACGTTTTAAAACGTGTGCCTACAAAACAGGCAGGGGGCGCGCGCGAGGCACGCGCCCGCCCTACCTGTCCCGCGGGTGTCAGCAGCGGGTCCCCGCCGCTGGGTCACGGCCGTTTTTTACCGGCCGTTTTCCCGCGATGAGCGGTGAACACTGAAACAGAGCAGGGCTGCATTGTTTACACACAGCCTGCTCTGTGACAGTTTGCCGCCAAGCTGCAGAGGGAGAATACAGTTTCTCTCCCTCGATCAGCTCCCCCCTCCCTCCCCCCCCGTTCAGTACACACCCCGCCCCTTAGTAAAACACTCCCCTCACACAGTGAACACTAAAAATGTTAACCCCTTCCTCCCCAGTGACATTAGTACAGTTTCAGTGGTTTTTTTTCACTGATCACTGTATTGGTGTCACTGGGGATGTCAGTGACCCCAAGTCAGCTCCCCCCAGTGTCAAAATGTCCACCTCAGTCCCGCAGTCCCGCCATAAGTCGCTGGTCGCCGTCATATGTCGCTGATTGTCGCTGATCGGCGCCATTATTAGTATAAATAAAAATTAAAAATCCCAGTATCTTTCCCGCCATTTGTAAACGCTATAACTTTCACGTAAACCAATTAATTTACACGTATTGGGTTTTTTTTTTAGCAAAGACATGTCGCAGAATGCATTTTGGCAGAAATGTATGACTAAATTTGATTTTTGCATTTTTTTTTAATGGACATGTTTTATAGCAAAAAGTCCAAAATATTGTTTTTTTTTTTCCTCAAAATTGTCAGCCTTTTTTTTTATAGCGCAAAAAATAAAAACCGCACAGGCGATCAAATACCACCAAAAGAAAGCTCAATTTGTGGGGAAAAAAAGGATGTAAATTTAATTTATGTACCGTATTGCATGACCGCGCAATTGTCCGTTAAACTAGCGCAGCGCTGTATAGCAGAAAAATGGCGTAAATTGCAGTATTTATACCATAGTTTGTAGACGCTATAACTTCCACACAAAGCAATCAATATACACTTATTGGGATTTTTTTTTTACCAAAAACATGTAGCAGAATACATTTTGGCCTAAATTTATAACCAACTTTGAGTTTACTAAATATTTTTTATAGCTGAAAGTAAAAAATATTGTTTTTCTTCAAAATTTTTGACCTTTTTTTGTTTATAGCGTGAAAAATAAAAAGCGCACAGGTGATCAAATACCACCGAAAGAAAGCTCTATTTGTGTGAAAAAAAGGACGTAAATTTCGTTTGGGTGCAGCATTGCATGACTGCGCAATTATCAGTTCAATTAGTGCAGCGCCGAGTAGCAAAAAGAGGCCTGGTCATTAAGGGGGGTAAATCCTCTGGAGCTCAAGTGGTTAATATATTCAAGAGTCCATGTTGTCACCTCCAAAAATTGGCCAGAGCATTTTTCTGAAAAAGATGATACTGTACCTACCTAACATACCATCTCCAATCTTCTCACTGTTCAAGCTCTGAAACCTCTATCAGGCTCTTCAGCATTCAACGTGTACCGGAATGCCAGATACATACCTGTGTCCTCTGCCACTCTCCACAGCTCCATTCTCTGACCCCTGCTTAACTACTGAGTCCTCTGACTATGAGAGGACCAGTAGATGGAAATGCAGCACTTGTTATGGAATATTATCCAATGTTGGAGAATCAAACACTTGAACAGAGTGAAAGGCAGAAGACACAAGCTGCTTTAAAGATGAGCGTAGGCTCTTCTTTTGCAGGAAAATGCTCTGGCCAATTTTTAGGGGTGATGACAAAGAAGCTTGCATGGTTATCCACAAAATCCTTCTATGATTGGGACAGTTCTTTAATAGAATAGGGTTAAGTAGTAATGTACAGTATCTGTTTCTTGTCACGCTTTATTATGAGAATCCTTTCTTACTGGAATCCTGCTGGTTTCTAGATGTTCTGCCAGGAAAAGAGCTGGTGAAATGACAACAATGTCACAGAATACCCGAATATAATATACTTCCTTGGGACACTGTTGCCAACATTGTGGTTGTAAGAAAAGGCAGGAAAATGTGGTTATTGCTTAATTGAAAGTTTGCCTTGCAAAGTTGGCATGACCTAATTTTCAAAAACACAAGTTTTACGTGTGCATTACTCTGAACATTATTATTTTTACCCCTTTAGGGCTTGTTCATACCAGATCGCATGTTCCCCATGTCTTCAGAGTAGGAAACTGGAGTCTTCTAAAAAAAATCATTATAGGCTAACAAGAGTTGATTATGCCAGATGTGTTACGCTGGCATAGGTTGTAAATATTCACACATGCTGAATTTTTAGTTCAATGACCTGCATATCTCCATTCAAATCAATGAAATGGGGCAGGTTTAACATGTTTAAAAAGCATTTAAAATGTCTCTAAATTATGTATGCATTAAAAAAAGGCTTATACTGTGGAAGCAGTACCCTAAAAAAAGGTTAGCAGGGGGTAATGGGCTAGTTTCCATTATTGCCTGTAGGCTCCCTATACCTTTTCTTTTTTTTTTCTAAAGTTAGGAAAACTCTCATATGACAGAATAGAAATTCGGAAGTGATATATTATTATACAGTATTTATATAGCGCCAGGTGGTTTGCTCAGCGCTGTACAATATAATGTATTGTATTTTCGGACGAAAACTGTACCGAATAAACAAAAATTGAATTATCTGGTATTGTACCAGAAACATTTTTATGCTTATCCAATCCGATAATCTTGCACAACCTGCCCTGATCAGCACTCAAATGGTGTGTATTAACAATCAGATTATTGTACGAATGCTTATAAAGTGATATTTTTCGTGCGATTTTCTGATCGTGTGCACTAGCTTTACTAATTTCAGACTTGTCACAAATTTTGCTTCCTCGTGTCAGGGCAGCGTGATAACTGGTGATCTGATGACTGGCAGTAGAAAATTCATGGGGCAGCAGGGGAAGTGCAAGAAACACAGAGCCAAATGAAGAATAATGAATAAAGCAGAGGAAGGGAGATGCAGTACTGGTTCTCAAGTACAGCTTTCTGTCTAGTAAACCCTTAGAAGATCAGTGAGCAGCAATGTGGTGACCAAATCGCATAACACCAGCAGTGAGATATGGGGTATTCAACTAGGAGACTGAAGGCAAAGAAATGCCTAGACACAGGAAGTTCAATGCTAATTTTTGGATACCTCAATTCTTCTGATCCACCAAATGATGGAAACATCAAAACACTGTTGAAACGTCAACAGCCTATTTATGAGAACAGAGGCAGCAATAAAACCTTACAAAGGTTCTAACACTTGTCTAAAATTTTCTACCCAAAACGAAAAAATATTTGTCTGGATTAAGGTTTCAACCGCTTCCCTACCACCCTATAACAGAACTACGGCGGCAGGGCTGTGCAAAATCATGTATATATACGTGATTTTGCATTTCCGGGTCGGGGGAGTGCACCAGCCATACCCGCGTTGCCATTGGCTTTTACAGCTGTTGATCACCAGGACCCGGACGGAGATTCCCCAGCGATCACCGAGTAACACTGACAGGGGAGAGGTCTGTATGTAAACAATACAGATCTCTCCCTGTCAGCACCAGCATGCTGCTTTGTATTGCTCTGCATAGCAGAGCAATACAAAGCTGTATAAGCAGTATGCTTACACAGTAAAACATACACAACACAGTTAGTAAAACAGCACACATTTAACCCTTTGATCGCCCCACATGTTAACCCCTTCCTGCCCAGTGTCATTAACACTGTGTCAGTGCTTTTTATTAGCACTGATCACTGTATTAGTGTCACTGGGGATATCAGTGACAGTTAGTCAGTTCCCCCCCAGTGTCAGAATGCCCACCGCAGTCCAACTATTAGTCACTGATCGCCACCATTACTAGTATAAAAAAAAGAAGTTCCAGTATCTATACCGCCATTTGTAGACGCTATAACTTTCACATAATCAGTCAGTTGCAGTTAATCAATGCCCTCCCCCCCAGTGTCAGAATGCCTGCCGAAGTCCCGCTATAAGTCACTGACCACCGCCATTATTAGTATTAAAAAAAAAAAAATTCCAGTATATATCACGCCATTTGCAGACATGTAGCAGAATACATTTTGTTCTAAATTTATGATGACATTTTATTTTTTTAATTTTTTTACTTACTGGACATGTTTTATAGCAAAAAGTCAAAAACATTTTTTTTTTTTTTTTCCAAAATTGTTGGTATTTTTTTGTTAACCCTTTGAGGACCATAAGATTACGGAACGCCAAAAGAATCAATTTTTTGTTTTTAAAGTTCGTACACTTCAGTTGCTGTAACTAAGCCATTTCATGAAATAACTGGCAAAAAGCTAGATCCATTTATTGATAAGAACTAATATTTTGACTCAAACCAAAAAAAAAAAAAAAAAAAAAAAAAAAAAAAAGTATTTTAAGTTCTTAATCAGATGATACAGGCAATTAAAAACATGGGACAAATACGTCCCTTGGTCCACAAAGGGTTTTTAATAGCGCAAAATATAAAAATCGCAGAGGCGATCAAATACCACCGAAAGGAAGGTCTATTTGTAAGAAAAAAAGAACATAAATTAGGGGTATAAAAACCTAAATACTACCAATTTAACATAGATATTACTCTGTCTAGCAGACTGTGTCAGAATCAATCAGCTGTATGCTCATTTATTTTCAATTTGATATTTATTCTAACTTGTATCAATATGTTAAGCACATTTAACGCTAATAGAGTGTGCGTCTATTTACTGATAGTAACCCACAGCCAAGTTAAATGTATTTCATGCTTGTGTATTTATTCGTGCTTGCAGGGATTTTTAGTCAACCAGGTGTGTCAGAGAGGCCGAAGTTGTTCTTAGAGTCAAGACACAGAACAGAGAACCCAAAGTTACCAAGCGACTCCTCCGAGGTTGGCGCTACATATGCAACAAGTAAACAGACACTAATAAAAAGCTGACAGAGGTTGCAGATATCTCTACGCAGCTTAAATTGGTTCTAAAGACAGAACATTGTTTTACCTTAAAGCATTTCTTGAATTAAGGTAAAAAATGTCCCAATATTAGTATTACCCTCTTACTTACCTGAGTCATCACTCAATCCAGCAATGTGCCCATCTCTACTGGGTTTCTTCCTCTCTCCCTTCATTCAAAGAACAGAGATGCAGCAAGGGGAGCCATTGGCTCCTGCTGCTATCAATCGAATCATGTGATGAAGGAGCAAAGGGCGGAGCCGTAACGCATTGTGTGTGTCTATAGACGCACGCAGCCAAGGTCAGGAGTGAGACCGCAGGTTTCTATGGTGGCCCACCAAGAAGAAGAGCAGCCTACAGTGCCAGAAGAAGACAGCCGAAGAGGAGGTTTGAGGCCACTCTGTGCAATACTATTGAACAGAATAGGCAAGTACAATATTTTTGTTAATTTTTTTTTAAATGTAAGCTTTACAAACGCTTTAAGAAAAAGCATTTTTATATCTGTGTTGCTGTTAGGGAGATTTCTCATTGCTTCCTGTCCCGTTGACAACGTTTTTAGAAGAAGTGAAGGAATCTCACCAACAGCAGTAAAACCTGACTGATGTTCTAATCCTTCTCCATCTTATCCAAAACTAAACAAAAAGTTTTGGCTATAGATACACTCAAAATAGCTGATATGTAGAGCTGACCTAAATTATGCTACCTCTGCTGTTTATGTACTACAGGTACACTTTATGACAACAGTAAATGTACCATATAGAGAACAAAAAAAAAAAGATTTTGCAGTTAATTGATTTGAATTACAAGGCTATTACAGCCCTGGAAAAAGTCTGAACATGTCCAATTACCTAACAGATAAGAACTGGAATGCAATGATCATCCAAGACCAAGTCTTGAGTCTTCAAGCATACTGTCCAACACTGATATTTAAACAGATAATTTTAATCTCTTCCCTCCTCTCAGTTTTGTTTTTCTTTTTATGAATAAAAGAACATTTGAAAAATGGACTTTTCCCATTATTTCCAACCCCATCTGATTGCTATTGAGGAGATTACTTCAGGCCAGCTCAACAATGAAAAACCCTTCTATCCAAGCTTAGACCCTGCAGTCGGAAAACGTCTCAAGAAAACCTAACTAAGACCATGGCGAAAAGTTCCTACTTCTATTATTACAAGATTAGATTTCAACACCTAATCATATTTTAAGCAGAATAAACAGGGGCCATATAGTATTACCGCTTATCAGTTTTACGTTTTGTTATTTGTGGTTTACTCCATACTTTCCAAGTTACAATGTGACATTATGTTGGCTGTATAAACACCCCGAGCTTTCAATGCTTCAACATTCGAAGGTTTAGTTCAGAAATTGAAAAACTCTGGAAAATTATTAGCAGATGGAGCAACTGAATATTTGACATCATAGCAAAAGTTCTAAGCAATTGGCTTGAATAAAAAAGTTGGGTGAAATTTAACAAAAAGCCTGTACTTACCAACCAAGATTATCAGCCTGTATTTCTCATTAGGCTGTCGTTGATACAATGCCACTTCTTCAAAGGTCGGAACATCTGCTGTATCATATTGGTCACTCTTTTTACATTCGTACATGAATTTATTTGTTTTTCTGTCTTTCCTGCTGAGACGAAAACTTCTCCGAAAACCAGCTGAAACAAAAACACATTTTTCAGATCAGAACGTGAGTAGCCTGGATGTCTGCAGTGCTCTTTCATAAATATAATATTCATAAATATTTTAACAAAATGTAACAGTACAGAAATCATTACAGGCCGGTCCCGAACAAAATCCAGCCGTGACTGCTTTTACTTAAGTATGGTTTAAAAGTGCCGACTGAGAAATTACTTCTTCAAGTTCTGATCACTAAAAAGCCGCTTATAAATCCCAGACAGCCATAGAAAGCAGCACTTATGGAGCGGCTGGGCACACAAAACTGTGGCTAACTGGTACTACAGCTTTATGGGGAGACTATAAAGCAAATATTGGCTTCTTGGATGTGGTATGAATTTTAAAAAACTGCATTTACATTGTAAGGAAACTGCTTATGGTGTAATAGGGAGCACATTTAAAACTGTTACACAAGATATACATTTTACATTCACACATCTAATCTTGCATACGTAACATAGAACATATAAAGTAATGAACAAAAATATGGCACATGGAACACAAGTGTATGGAAACATTGCAATCAAATGCATTAAGGAATTCAATAATTTTGAACATTCAGTAGGTAAATATTCAAGTAGATGTAAAAAAAAAAAAAAAAAAAAAAAAATTCCAAGCAATACTGAAAAGGATATGCCACAAATTAGAGTAACTAAAAGGAAATAATTAGCTGATCTGATTCATAAAAATTATTGGTTGTTATGTTTAGGTGCACTCATCCTTGCAATTGCCCTACCGTATGTAGCTAATAGCGATTGGGTTTGATTACCATTCCATTTACTTTGAACCAACTTGAAGACATATACATTGGGTTGAAACATTACAATTTAAAGACGATTCATTCTAAAACAATGTTTTTCAATTTTAACCAGTATACTTTATCTATGAAGAACTTAAACTTTTTAAGGATCAAATTGTTAATTGCTTGAAAAACGTATTTATACTGTATATAATCATCATTAAGATTTGTATTTCACCTGCTTTGGGATATCACAGGGCAAACACTTTTTGTCCACTTAAAAACATGTTAAAATGTCCACAGTGTTCCCTTGAAAATAAATATATGCTTATACTTACCTACAGGGTTCTTGTTTGCAAATTTTTACAAAAATTCTACATAAACCTGAAAGTCAAAGTCTTAGACATTTGGCAATTACTCACACATCTGAGGTCTAAAGAACAAAATTCTTTCAAACTTGCATATTAACAGATTATTCTATGTAGTTGACATAAGCCATACTCTTTACTGGACAACTCAAATTTTGCAGTAACTATGTACCTTCTTCCGAAAAAATTGGTTGCCGACATGTTTTTGGCTTAAATGCCTTCTGAATTGTTGACTTACGACACACATGCAGAAAAAGACAGAATGGATTCAGAACACACGACCTGAATACTTGTTCCATGTGCGTGTCTAGGATAGTATTGAAGAGCTAAGATCAGCGTGCCAGCCAGTGAAATAGCATTTCCAGGAGCCTCCATACTCCCACAGTAAAGGTTACTTTAAAGAGATGCTGTCTCCTTGTCTATGCAAGGAAAAGCAACTGTTTGCAAAGGCCAACTAAGCTATCTCCTTATAGCCTGCTTTCAATTTACAAAAGACTAATACAGACTGCTGTTGGTATACCTGAAACTGCTGTTGAGTAACCAGAGACTGATAGAGACTAATGCTGTGCTATAACTAACTGAGAAAACATTGTTCTCACTTACTTCAAGAACCGAATGAAAATATTTGTGCGAGCTGTGTGTGGATTAGAAATGATTCCTAATTCCTACAGGCCCACAGTCACTGTACTACCCCAAAAACATACAACTGGATTCATTTACCTGGCCCAACCCAATACTATCTCCATGCTGTGTAACATGGGTAACGTGTGTATCTAACCAACTACAAGATTTCATAAAGCAAAGGATCAGAAAGTAGAATTTAAACGAAAAGAAAACAAGACTGTAGAACAATCATGACAAGGATAGAAAATTTAAAACAGGTGCACTAGGACTTTAAAAAAACCAAAGAGCAATGTAATGGGAGGTCTGGGTTATACTGGTGCCTGTGTCTAGAAATGCTCCAATACTACAGACCACCATGGAGGGTACACACAGCCTTCCCAAAAGACACTGTCCGCCAGAAACACATCTACTTTTCAAAATAACTTTCTGGCAGCCGTTTGAATTATCACCATGACAAACAATGGAAAAAATAACTTTATACAA